ACCAGTGTGTGAAAGGGTGATTGACCAGTGTGTGACGGGGTGACTGATCAGTGTGTGACGGGGTGATTGATCAGTGTGTGACGGGGTGATTGATCCGTGTGTGACGGGGTGACTGATCAGTGTGTGACGGGGTGATTGATCCGTGTGTGACGGGGTGATTGATCCGTGTGTTCGTGTGTGACGGGGTGACTGATCAGTGTGTGACGGGGTGATTGATCCGTGTGTGACGGGGTGATTGATCAGTGTGACGGGGTGACTGATCAGTGTGTGACGGGGTGATTGATCAGTGTGTGACGGGGTGATTGATCCGTGTGTGACGGGGTGATTGAAGTGTGTGACGGGGTGATTGATCGTGTGTGACGGGGTGATGATGTGTGTGACGGGGGACGGGGTGATTGATCAGTGTGTGACGGGGTGATTGATCCGTGTGTGACGGGGTGATTGATCCGTGTGTGACGGGGTGATTGATTAGTGTGTGACGGGGTGATTGATCCGTGTGTGACGGGGTGACTGATCAGTGTGTGACGGGGTGATTGATCCGTGTGTGACGGGGTGATTGATCAGTGTGTGACAGGGTGATTGATCAGTGTGTGACAGGGTGATTGATCAGTGTGTGACAGGGTGATTGATCAGTGCGTAGTCCGGGTGAATGAGTGATGTTGTGTGACGGGGTGACTGATCAGTGTGTGACAGGGTGATTGATCAGTGTGTGACAGGGTGATTGATCAGTGCGTAGTCCAGGTGAATGAGTGATGTTGTGTGACGGGGTGAATCACATTCCTGTGTGAGTGTCAGCAGGAGCTCACCTTCAGCTTCTTGTTCAGTTTGCAGCAGTATCGGTACAGCATGGCCAGATTCAGAGGGCCGAAGTCTGCGTAGAAACTGAGACAGAAAGCAGTGTTTACCTTCAGGAAGCATCGGTTACGGCTCTGACAAGTGAGGATAACACTCTCATATGTCCTCTTCATTAAAAAGGGGCCATCTCCTGATATTCAGGTGTATTTTAGTATTTAGCGTCTCTACCGTGACATGTTTCCATGCTTTAATGTCCAAAAAGCTGGGAGTGTATGGGACTTTAGCCTCTGCAGACCATTGACATGCACTGACACACTACAGGAGAGGGAACACCTCAAAGGCTGAATGTTTCCTGCTTATTAAAGTCTCTCTAGTCTCTGAGTCTAGTCCAACAGGAGCTACAGGTCCGGTTGAAATGTGTCATCCGCCTCCACTCCCTAGTTGAGATTATTCTCAGTCTTTCCTCCCGACCTCATACTGGCTAAAAAAAAAAAATGTAGAGACTGCCAAAAACAAAACAAAGAATCTCATTCACTTTGTCTGACGTGTAATTTTCATCAGCTGCGAAACCATAGAAACATCCGTACAGCAGCTGAGTGTTGGGAAGCAGAACCCAGAACCTGTTACCTTAAAGCTGGGCGGAGTGACAACGCTTCGTTTCAAATGATATGTGTATTTTATATTCTAGACAGAAACAGGTTTGTGCTCATTAGTTAATAACAACATACGTGAGCAGTGCAACAACAATATCCTGCACATTTTTCTGAATAAAAGATTTAGTCTACAGAGTTTTTATTTGAAACAAAAAGTTGATTTAAGATTGTATACTTACTTTTAATAATGTCTGACACATTTTACAGATAAGAGATATTACAACTGTAGTAATGTTGCCAATGAACCGTTAAAATAATAGTAAAAGAATAAATAAATATGCTATGGCTGTTGGAAAAGAAAATGCACACACACAGTATATAGCACATAACATATAAAGAGTAATGTTATATATAAACATATAAACTTACTTTTCGTAGACAAACTCGTCATCGGTGCAGAAGTAGTGAGTGTTCGCCGTACTCTTGGGTTTACTGCGTAACGTGGCGAAGTACAGACGTTCTGCAGGACACACACACACACACGTTTCTTTCCTAATGCTATAAATACAATACTTTAATTATTGGAACAGACGCTTTGAAAAACAAAAACAAATCAAATGTAAATGTTAGAAGTGTATTAGATGTTGAACATCGACACGATATCCACAGTCGCCCCTCAAAAACTGTTCTTGTTGTCCTCAGTGAGATCTTTATGGTTTATTGCACTTGTTGTACGTCGCTTTGGATAAAAGCATCAGCTTAATAAAATGTGGTTATTTGAATAATATTGGAAGTTTGGGGAGAATTTAAAACTCTGAAACCCTTAACCTAAAAAGGGGATATCATTTTTTCTAAAACGTTATAAAAATAATAAAAAGTGAAGGTGTCTAATCAGGAACAACAGTAAATAATATACAGGACAGTGACCTTTATACAACACACAGTATTCAGTGTCAGAGTCTCAGGAGGACACACCTGTATTTATATCCCTGATATGTTAAGTCACGCCAAATGAAATAACAACGCTATTTCTTTCTCCTGAAACACAAAACTGAAATCTTGATGATTTGACAAAAGCAGCATTTAAACCAGGCAGGTCACAACATTTAACATATTTTTTTAAATATGTACATCATTATAAAGACAATAATGTCGCAATAAAACCCCACTGCACACCTGTAGCATCATAATCAATATAATGACCTGATTGATTAGCGATCATAGAGAGACTGTGTATTTCTTTACACAGTTACCATGGTGATCCTGATCAACCAAACTACCTGATCTACTTGGACATGTATTAACTTTCACTATTATAGGTAAATGTACATGTTTTGTTAATACAGTACAATCTCTGCCAATATAAAAAGCATTATTATGTATATTTAAAAGTCTGTCACCATTACATTTTTATCTTAAAGCACTTTGAATTGCCTCGTGTGGAAAGGTGCTATATAAATAAACTTGCCTTAAATAAATAAAGTAGTGGCAAGGCAGAATGTGTACTTTAATTGAAAAGTGTATTTGTATCTTCAATAAACTCTAATTTGTACCTTTTTATTTAAGGATTAGTTGTTCCTTTAATAAGCTCTGATTTAAAGTATGCACACTTGAAATAAACTGTATTTGTACCTTCAATAAGCTCCAGTTTAAAGTATTTGTACATCTTTATTATAGGTGTTGTTGTACCTTTAATAAGCTCTTTTTTAAAGTATGTTTACCTTAATATAATCAGTGTATGTGTACCTCTGATAGGCTCTGAGTTAAAGTATACGTACTTTAAATACACTGTGCTCTGCTCTAAATCAGGGTACCTTTGATGAACTGCGCGGCTCCCAGCGGATCGGACTCGTCCGTCCCGCCGAACAAGGCGGACAGGATGGCGGAGTGTCTCACTCCTTCCACCGTCATGGGGCCGTCTAATCCCCGGCCTGAAGGGTCCGTATAATCCCTGGCCCAATGGGTCCGTCTAATCCCCGGCGGTGTACCTCCAGTAACTTTTCGAACTGCCGTTAGCCGTTATAGCAGAGCTAGCAGCGGAGCTAACGTTTCGGTGAACCGAAACTAGTCAAAAGTTGAAATAAACTTTCTTCTCAGTTTCCCATCAGCCCCTGCGGCCCTTTTTTGCTCACATGAGAACCCTTCTACCGTTCCCGTCACTCCTTTCTCCACTTTTCACCGGTGAATATCCCTGGTTTAGCATGCTAGCACTGCTTCACGACGCTCTGAGTCTGAAACTCTGATTGAGCAAATCCCTCTTTAAGACACGTAACTATGGCAACGAAAGCCGCTCCCATGGCAACGGCAGCCAATCATCAATGAGGACGCGCTGTGATGCCTTCAGGGTCCGCTGGGAGATTCACGCACACGATGAGGCTTTCACTTACCGAGCGATTTAGTATTTGGATGTTATGTTCCCTTTTTTCACCTAATAAAGGAATCGTTCATACATTTTTACGGTTCGTAAATGTAGATATATTATCCTTATGTATTTCCATTTTGGGAGAGTCTCCATCCTCCAGGGAGAAATATATTTAGTTATTGTTTACATTCATAATTCAGATTTGACATTTGAGTTAAAATCAGAGAGTCTTGAAGACCCACCAATACTAGTTTGACTCTGAATATTCACTATTAATAATAATACACATTAAACTGTTACACCTAAATAATAAATGTAACCCTAAAACAAGAGAAATATCAATTTTAACAAAACGATTCAGGACTTTTATTTTGCAGTCACCTGGCCCTATACCTGTGCCAAAAATTACACTATGGAAGCCCAGAAGGGTCTTAATAAAAATATAAGTTATAACTTTTATTTGTAATTCCACAATAGCATTTCTTTACATAAGTATCTGTAATTAAGCGGTACAATCTAAAGGAAAATGGAGAAATCTGATATATATTTGCACATACTTTTGTATTTGGAGTTTGTATTTTCATGGTTGATTTCACTCTTTTTAACTCTTTACGTAATGTGGGATGAAAGTGTATGCAATGTATTGTAGAAAATGTAAATGCCATATAGCAAAGTATCCCGAAGTCACAGTTAAAATGCAGCTTTGAACCAATTCAGAAGTGAAAATAAAACAACATTTGGTGCTTTCCAGTGGACGATATTCAGATAACTTTATTAAGTTCAATAGGTCTGTTGGTAACAGCTGGAATAACCTCACCTGATTGGCTCGTTTTAAGATTTCTGACTGCAGGTTTAATACCAAACAATTTGTCTGTTTTACTCGTTTATCATGTCTTCTGTTTTTAATTTTGTCTTAATGTACATTATTTAATTTTATATTCTCTTCTTGTACATATCATATTCTATTGACATGTATATAGATTTTTACATTACTGTTTATTTTGTATTTTTGTATTTCTATTATATATGTTGCATCGTTGGAGGAGCTCAGGTCAGAAGAATTTCATTGCCATTTCCACACTGTAGCTGCTGAGCATCTGATGATAACACCTTTGAATCTTCCCCTGCAGAGCATCAGTAATGTTGCTCTGTTTATGTCTGCATCTCACCTGCGACCAGAGAGATCCACACACGGTTAGGTCCAGGTCCATGTCCAGGTCCAGGTCCAGGTCCAGGTCCAGGTCCAGGTCCAGGTCCAGGTCCAGGTCCAAGTCCAGGTCCAGGTCCAGGTCCATGTTG